ATCTGGTGTCCTGCTCATTCTGTTCTTCTTGCTTAGAGTGGGAGGAGCTGAGAAAAGTCAGTCCTCCTCCACCAACCCTCCTTAGAACCACCATCCCATGTGGTCCCTTTTCCTGCAGTTCTTTCAATTTTGCACATGGCCACAGCTGCAAAGAATGGTTGCCTACCAGCCACTCATATCTTGGTATGAATTTCTTTAATATGCTAATTTTCTTGTTTTCCTCTATAAACTAAACTAAAATAAAGAAAATGGGCAATCATAGCTCACAAAGTGAAACCACAAGAAACTCAAATTTTTTTAATTTGGGTGACCAGGAACAATAACTGTTAACAGAAAAAAAATCACAGGCTGATGCCTTGGAACGGCAGACTTGGGAGAGGCTTACTGAACCCTTTCAGGTGCTGATGCAAGAGCCTGGATTGTTGTTGGTGAAATTGCAGAGAGTGACACACATTCAAAGCAACATGGTTGGCCGCCATCTTTGGGCTGGGTGCTGCTGTTTTCTACTCTGCGACAAGTGATTTGGCTCTTATACAATGTGTTTGATGCCCTAAGAGGGAGATTAAGTTGCTAGCAGGACTGCAACCATAAATTTTCCCATTCTGGTTACAAATCCAGTTCATCCAAATTCTAGAAACTCGGGTCTGATCCAGCATCACTTGCTAGGCCATGGCTGTGCCAGGCTGAACTGATACAAAGCCCTTGAGATGGGAGAGGGTGGAGATGTTGCAGAGGATGGCAAGAGGGAGTTTTAGGTATTCAGGGAGCAGCACCCAAGGCCTCGGGTTAGGCATGGAATCGAGGGTCAGGTTCTGAAGGCAGAAGACGACACCAGAAGGGACTATGTTGTTAGGTGCCATCAAGATGATTTTCAACTCATAGCAACCCTAAAGAACAGAACAGAACTGCTCCATAAGGTTCCCTAGGCCGTAACCTTTGTGTGGAAACAGATCACCAGATCTTTCTCCCTTGGAGCCAGTGGGTGGGTTCACACCGCCAACCTGTCAGCAGTCAAGAACTTAACAATTGTGCCACTGGGCTCCTGGAGGGAACTGTAGCCTTTCAATTTTATCAAAAACCCCACTGATGACTCTAGATGTAAAGGTCCTAGATTTGGTAAAAGCCCCACATTCTGCCACCCACTGAGTGACCTTGGTAACATCACTTGACCTCTCTGAGCTTAACTTTTCTCATCTGGTTAGTGGGGATCCTGAATTTAAATGAGTTGACATCTAGATCAAATGAGAGTGTTCTACAAACTACTCAGCAGAGCTCAAACAAGTCTCTCCTGCTGCCCCCTGGCCTGCCCCCTGATGCGTCCTTGCCTGCCTGGGCCTGTGACTAAGCCTCAAAATCCCCAACATTCCCCAAAGTGGCCTCAACAACAGGACCGGAAAGTAAAGCAGAGACCTTGGAGCTGGGTAAAAATAGAACACTCCAGGCCAGGCGCTGCAATTGTCATTGTGCGAAACAAACAAGGGCGGTCTCCGTCCTGAGGCTGCAGACACCCTGCACAAGCACAGCACCATCCCAAAGGACACCAAGAGGGCAGTGGGCTAGGGTGGTCTCTGGGTAACCCACTAGGATTTGCCCAGTGGTGGCTTGGAATGAGTACGGAGCCCTGGGCCCCTTGTCAACCACCTTCCCCCAATCACTGATACTTAAACCAGGGCAGGATCCCTCCCATCTTGCCCCTACATCCCTGCCAGGTCTCACTTGTGGAGGGGGATCCTGGCTGGGGAACACTGGGCAGGATCTTCACAGTGGGAGCTGGAGAGTCACACTGACGAGGCTCAAGTGCCTGGCCTGCCACTTTCAACTTGGGAATTTGGGCTAGAGTTGGCCCAGCTTTGGGCCTCAGTTTCCTCATCTGTAAAGTGGGGCAAATTACACCTGCCTCACTGGGTTGTAGTAAGGAACCAGTGGGATGGAGAATGGACAGCACTTAGCAAAAAATACCCAGTAAGTACTGAATCTCAACTGTTGTCATCATCATTTTCTATCCAAAAGCCCTGGCCTGGACCAACATATTCTGCCCACCTCTGGTGGCACAATGCCTAAGGAAGGCATTTGACTGCTTACCAGAAGGCTGGCAGTTCAAACCCACCAGCCACTCCGTGGAAGAAGACTGGGCAATCTACTTCTATAAAGATTTACTGCCTTGGAAACCCAAAAGGAGTTGCTCTAAGTCGGAATCAACTTGATGGCAGCCAGTCTGGGTTTTCTTTTTTTTTGGTGCCCCTCACCTTTCTCATCAAACTTTCCACCCTACTCTTCCATATAATCTTACACTCATTCATCATCTTCCAAGACCCTCCAGGGCCTCCCTCCCTGAGTCTGTCCTCCAGTGTGACAGCCACCAGAGCTTCAAGTCAGTAACTCTCAGAGTCTGAGAGGGGTCAGCTCTTACCCACAGGGCCTCAGATGCCTATGCACAGAGTAAGGTGGAAAAGCTACACAGTGAGACCAGTGGGTGGAGGAGGCATAGGGTCTGGGGAGGAAATCGGGATGACCACGATGGGGAATGTTCTGCTCATCTACCAAGGCTACCCAGAATTCAGATCAAAGCCCACCAAGACCCCATTCAATTTCCCTACCTAGGAAATGCCAATTTTCTCTCCAAATTCTTTAGTCCTTTAGAATCCCAGGCTACTGAGTGTGAAATGTTCACACGAAAGCCACACGGTCCTCATCCAGTCAAGCGCAGAGGCCTTCTCCTTGTCAGGTGCCAGAGACTCTGCTCTAGGACACCTACATGGAAATTTCAAATACAAGCCCACTGGGCACCAAAGATGGTGAAACCCAATGGCCCTAGGATCCTTGGAGACCTCTCAGCCTCCAGACACTCTTCTGTTAGACCTGATTGGGAGAGAGGTGTCTATAGTGCTCTGGGGACTGCTCCCTCCAGCCTGAACAGCACATTAGGCTCCTTCTGGGATGATTATAATACCTCTACAGAGGGAGAAAGCAGATGTCAAAAAACTACCCATCATTCCAAACAACCAATGCCAATGCACACCACTTAAATTAAATATACTCTAGGGGTGGGCAGTGACAAAGAATCATACATTCACAAATACTTGTTAAGCCCTTGGCTTGTAAACTACATGTGGCTTCCATCCACATAGACACAAAGGAAAAAGAAAGGACTGAAATATGAACTTTTTATGTTCATCTGGGTCTTTGAGGGAAAGAGTTTACAACTAAATAAGGCCAAATGGCAGAGAAGCGAAAAGCAGCAGCCTGCATACATAGGAGCCACCGGAGACCAGAAGACAGGTGGGAGAAGGATCCAGAAGACTCGACCTCAGTACCAGCTGTGCCATGAGCCCACTGTGTGACCATGGGCAAGTCACGTTTCCATTCCGGCATCCGGTTTCTCCATCTCTGAAATGGTTACAATCTCAGTGATTTCCCACAGTCAAGGTGAGAAAAGTAAATGAATGGGGAAGGGCTCTAGAAATGGCCAGGCAACCAGGAGTGACCAGCACTGTTATCCTCAGAATCATGGGGAGAGTACAAGACGACTGACAGACAGAACTCCATGGGAAACAAATGTCTCAAAGGGACATCCAGCTCTTGCAGAAAAGTGGAAGACAGAGCAGCGTTAAGAGCACACACTCTGGAGGAGTCAGCTCTGCCACGGTATGACTGGGGGCAAGTTACTTGACCTCTCTGAACCTCTCAAACAGCCTGGGGCTGTTCTGAGATCAGGCATGTAAGGGGGCTGGGTGCAGGGCCCACAGCAAACAGCTATGATTAGTGTTGTCATTGCTATTATGAGATGGGCATGGGGGAGGGGAAGAACAACTTAGATGCAGACAAACAGTGACCAGCTTCACCAGAGATCCAGCCAGGCCCACAAGACATGAGGATGCAGTCCCAGCCTGAGCTGACAGCCTCACTTAGCGCAGAGGCAGGTCACAAGCCCCAACTATCCTCACAGCACACCCCACTCACCATGTCCCAAAAAGCTACCCCACAGACCTCACCACCCAAGTCCCTCCTGGCATTCACATGCTCCCAGTTCTCAAGGAAACCTCTCATTTCTCAAGGAAAGCTTCATTTAGGCCTTCTCCCAAATGTGGGGGTCCCTGTGGCCGAATCTTAGTTGCAGAGTTGCAGGAATAGATGGCTCCAAACCAGATTTCTCCCTGCTTCCAATCCCAGCATCCTCTGCTCAGGCCAAAGACATGATAACCAATGGCCTTTGGAAAACTCCTCACTTTGTAGACCATCCCCACAAGCTCATTCCACCCACTTATCTTCCTCTCTCTCCTCTGACCCTTCATATGGGTCCCTCCCCCTGAATGGGGACAGGAGGAGAAACCTATGAAGATAACACCCAACGATCTATTTGCTGCTTCCTGGCAGGTGGAGGAAGAGGATCCCTGGCTCAAATGAGGGACTGAGAGTTGTGTTTTTTAAAGAGAGACAAGGTAGAGACAACATGGGTTGAAAGGTATCTTAAAAAGGATTATCTCTATAGACAGGCACGTGGGCTGAATATTTACATCAGGTAGATACACTCTTGGAGAGATTAATCATGGGAGAACAGAAGGGCAGTGTTTGCACAGGGAGACAACTCACAGGGTAGGAGTACATGGGAGGGAAGGACACAGGGAACAGGTAACTATGGGGAGGAAGCAGGAAGAGAGCTGTTAACACTGTGGAAAATTCCAGTCAATGTCATGAGACAAAATGTGTATGAACTGCTATATGGAACACGAATTTGCTATGTAAACTTCCACCCAAATCACATTTAAAAAAAAAAAAAAAAGGATCATTTCTAGATTGTACTCACAGACTCTTCTTTACCCCAAGAACACTAGCAGTAAAAACACTGGCAGTCTTCTCAACCAAGGGATGAGAGGAAAAAGGAAAAGGAATAGAAGCCAATCGAGGGAAAAAAAAAAACCTCCATCAGTCCCCCTACCACCTGTCCCCCTTCTATAAAGTTCCACACCAATAGCAAGATGCAAGGAGAGAAAAATGCCAACCTGATAACTCGCCTGGAGCAGTGATGAGGGTGTTGGTGGGCTCCGTTTCAGTGTATGACAATGTGGAATCAGATAGATCTGCGGGAAGAAAGAGGAAGAACTTCTTCATTGGCTGCGGGGTACCCCCCTCTTTTCTTCTCTTGTCATGCATATATGTGTACGTGTGCTTGCTTGTCAAGGCCAGGTACCCCTCACAACTTTCTGAAGCCACTCTGCAACCCAAGCCACGATCACCTGAGACCAGGCCAGCCAACCCTGGGGCCCTTCTGGAAAACGCTGACTCCCTGGCTGCTGGGGCGCTGGCACCTGAAAAAGTTTCAATTGCCCTGACCACAGAAATAACCCAAGTTCAGGGGACCGAGCATGTAGCAACTTGGAACCTCCTTGGGTAAGGTTAAATTAAGCCCCTAAACAATTCATAGTTGCTGTACTTAATTACAACCATTAAAATTCTTGAAGTTGTTCCTTCTTGCTTGCTTCCTTCCTTCCTTCCTTCCTTCCTCCCGCTGAAGCCGGGGAAACTTTGTTTTAACAAGTTACCAGCCATCCTCACCCTGTCCCGTTTACACCCCTCTAATTAAGGGCTCAAGCATTTGCTCCCAGATTAACTTTATTTTTCTCTCTCCCCTCCCCAACCCCCTAATATCCAAACCTGCTCACAGAGCAAGTTTCAATGCCGAGACTGTTTTTTTTTGTAAGGCGTTCATTTTTTTTTTTTTTTTTTTTTTGAAGTAGTTTTAAGTACTTCATATGGCATGCTTTGTTTTCTCCTGTCTGCAGAGCAGTTAAATGGGGAAGGGAAATTCTTTTGCACGGAGGATTCGTTTGCTCTTGAACGTTAAGCTGCTAGCCTGACAAGCCAATGCCTTTTGGGGTGGGTACACTTGGAAAATTTTTCCTGGGCCTGTGCCTCTGCTACCAGCAATGGGGTGTTGTCCCCAGTAAGGAAAAGGCCTGTCCAGAAGTCTGAAGGCATGTTCTGTGAAGCCTGCAGCATTTTCATTGTCATCTTCTCATCCAACAAGAGTCAGGTCAGGCTCAGCTGGTCCCACCTGGCCCAACAGACTCAGGGCCAGGATTCCCAGGACAAAAACGTTATTAGCGTAGGCCCTAGCTAGCTAGAATTCCATTCGATCCTGCAGGAATTTTTTCCTTTTACCACATGGCTCAGGGAGCGGGAAGATGAAACATTAACCAATTTGGCCTCTTTTTTGTTGTTGTTGTTTTGTTTCCCACTTGCCAGATGCTGACTGGGTACTCTTGGTTTTATTTTGTTTTTGAGTTTCATGTGATCACAGAGGCTTAGAAGTGAACTGACTTTTTGTTTATGAAAAAGCAACAATGCAAGGAAAAGAAAATAATCCAAAAAATAACTCCAAGTATTAATCAGGGCATGAAAAAAGTTATCTGTTGGTAAAAAGTGTTGGGAGGGCAATACGTATACGTGGAAAATCTTTTTTAAAAAAGAAAAATCACACCAATGCCTAAGTGGGAACTTCTTGGAAAAGTTTTGCTTGTCATACCCAATGATCCCAAAGTACTCAGCACCCTGGGCTTCACAGCCATTTCTTTTGTTTGAAGTGGCCATATCACAAGCTGAATATGATTTCTTACTACACTGCTGTGGAGCCAACACAGATAGCATGGTGAGGTTCTCAGAAGGAACCAGAATGGCAGGCAGTTCCCACCTTCCACAGCTTGTAAGCCCCTCTATCACACAGTGGCCAAACCCTCACTAGTGTTTCTAGTGAGGGGCTCAAAGTTGGAAGGATGTTCCACGGTTGGCTTAGTGAAAAAAGAACGCTCCTAAGCTTGACTGCTGCTCAAGCCCCAAGGAGGGGACCCCCACTCTGAAAGCTGAAGCCCAGATTAGAGTCCCACCTCCATCAGTCAGCTACATCAGAGATGGGCAAACAACTTCTATAAAGTGCCAGACAGTAAACATTTTCAGCTTTGCAGGCTATACAATCTGTTGTAACTACTCACCTTTGCCACTGCAGGACAAAATGTCTTAGGCACTACACCACCAGAGCTCCCAGTACAAAAGCAGCCAGAGACAATATGTCAATGGAGGAGTGTGGCTATGTTACAATAAAACCTAATTTACAGACATTGAAATGTGAATTTCATATAATTTTCATGTGTCACAAAGTATTCTTTTTTTGATTTTTAAAAAACCACTTAAGAAAGTAAAAACCATTTTCAGTTGGCGAGCCATACAAAAACAGGTGGTAGCCTGCAGTTTGCAGACCCCTGAATGATAGAACATAAGCAAGTGGCACTTCCTCTTTCTGGGTCTCAGTTGCCCCATTTGTAAAATAATGGAAATAACTGTTGGTTTCAAATGGTCACTCTAAGAGGCTGGGCAATGTCCTGGTTTTTGCTGCTTTTATCACAGACTGACTAACAATTCCTTAGGTCAACGATCCCTGACGTTCAAACTAAGGTGGTACATTTACTAACAACTTTTGAACATTTTCCTCTAATGGAACTAGAGGAGCTCTGGTAGCATAGTGCCTAAGGCACTTGACTGCTAACCAGAAGGCTGGCGGTTCAAATCCACCAGCCACTCCTTGGAAGGAAGGTTGGGCAATCCTACGCCTGTAGTGATACTGCCTCGGAAACCCAAGGAGGGGTCGCTATGAGTCGGGGCCAACTCTATGGCAAATAACAACAACAACAACAATGGAACTAGGGACTTTGTAAGTGACTAGCACAATTACAGTGACTTAGAAAATACTGAGACAGGCCTGTGAGCAAAAGATGGGGAACCACAGATCTGACTGAATTGGGGCTACTCTGGGTTTCTACCTCAGCCCTGCTACATGAGCTGGGCAGCTTCTACCCTCACTCAGCCTAATTCTACCTCTACTAAGCAACAAGGTGCCACCCAATGAGTTTCCCAGTTCCCCAAAGAACTAAGTAAAGTTCCCTCATCCACAGGATGATGATATTTGTGGGTGTTGAATCACTGACTCTCACATCCTCAGGGATGGCCTCTGTCTTCTTTGCTTGAGGAGGTCAAACTCCTGAAGGGACCCAGGGGCACTTCCAACTCCACAGGGGGGCCTAGAAGGAAAACTGGACTGGATGCCTGAATATCTACAGCACTAAGAAGTGACGTCCCAGATGATATGACACATTTGACTGGGAGGATGCCTTCACCAAAAACCAAACAAAACTCACTTCTCATGGTCACTTGGTAGAACGTACCAGCCTCACCGCCACGCCATCTGACTTTAAAAGCTTGAGTCCCACGGGAACTGCCAGGCCACACAGCTGCTCTCTTGGTAGCCCCCACCCCTGGGATTCTACCAAGCCCCATCACTTCTCCAGCCCAAAAACCATGCTCTGAATCTCCACTGGAAATACAGCCATTGGTAGGAACATAGAAGCACCAGGAACAAGTAATCTCAACTTTTAAAACCACATGCACCTACCTCAGAATGTGAGTTGATCATCGAGCCCTTGGATTTTACAGAACATCTGTTCTCTCTCTGAATGGGGCTCATCTAAAATGACACTACCACCTCCACTGAGCTCACCCAGGGCACAGTCCATACCAGGGGCTTTATGTACCAACATACATTCTTTCTAAACATTCCAATTATTGTTTTGGCCCAGGTGAACTTTCTTGGTTTAAAAAAGGGAACAGCTCTCAACAAAGGAGCTCTGGTAGCATAGTGTCTAAGGCACTTGACTGCTAACCAGAAGGCTGGCCATTCAAACCCACCAGCCACTCCTCGGAAGGAAGGTTGGATGATACTATAGTGATACCACCTCGGAAACCCAAGGAGGGGTCGCTATGAATCGGGGCTGACTCAATGGCACATTAACAACAACAACAACAACAACCTCTCAACAAAGACTTCGTGTCTGACCTATTTGTCATTGGGCAATCCTACTTCCGTAGTGATACTGCCTCGGAAACCCAAGGAGGGGTCGCTATGAGTCGGGGCCGACTGGATGGCACATAACAACAACAACTAATTAATACACACTAAAGGAGAATAACCCAGGGCTGGGGGAGGGAGGGAGAAGAAAAGAGACACAAATTCCAACCCAACTCCAATGAGATGATGCTTCAGTGGAAATCCATCCATCTCCAACAGGGCCTTGTTTAAAGGTCGCAGGGAGGTTAACGATGAGCCACGGAATTTCAAGATGTAAATAGTCCACTGCAGAAGCTGGGTCTGCTTTGGTCCAACTGCTGGTGTGTTTGCAAAACTTCACCCCATTTTAAAGACAATCCACCCAGCTTTCACTCTGTCCCTCCAGCTGAGACTGGAAGCCCAACTGAAGAGAAGCCCCAAAAGACACATCTCCACAAAGGTTAGAAGGGAAGCCCGAGAAGGACATACTTACCCAGTGGCTTGTACTCGTCACAAGGAGACAGCCGAGAGTAAGGGGGTGGTGGTGATTCTGGAAGACAGGAGATAGCACAGTCACTGCTGGGGTGGAGAGAGTTCACACCTCAGTTCACACCTTTTGAGTTCTGCATGCTTTTAACTCTTAGTTTCCTCAAATAATGAATCCAGTCCCCAGGAAGGCCTCACTTTCTCCCACCACCTCTGCTGCCCAAATTCACCGGGACAGCACTGATCAACAGTTAAGGCTGAAGGCTTGGGGTATAGCTAGACCTGGGCTTAATCCCTACTCCATCACCTTTGGCTTTGTGACCTTAGGCAAGTAACTTCACCTCTCTGTGACTGTTTCCCCAGCTCTAAAATGAGAATAATCATCATATCAACTTCCTAGGCTTTCTGGAAGGGCAAAAGGAAATAACATATGCCAGGTGTCTAGTACAGTTCTTGGCACCGTGGAAAAATAAACAGTAACTATTATTATCACAGGAGTCCCTGAGTAGTGTAAACAGTTAAAGAGCTTAGCTACTAAATGAAAAGTTGCAGGTTCAAGTCTATCCAGAGGTGTTTCAGAAGAAAGGCTGGGCTATTTTACTCTCCAAAAATGAGCCACTGAAAACCCTATGTAGCCCATCCTAGTCTGACACACATGGAGTCACCTTGAGTCCGGGCCCAACTCGATGGCAACTGGTTCCTTTTATTTTTTTAATCACAACAAGAGAAACGTGTGCAAGGGAGGTCAGAGCCAGAGTCACCAGATTAAATGCAAGATGCTCAGTTAAATTCAGGTAGCAGCTAAACAATGCATGGGTTTTTTTTGTACAGCCACGTCCCTTCCAATACCGGGGACATACTTATACTGAAAAATCAGTCATGTGTTGTTCATCTGAAATTCAAATTTGACCGGGCATCCTGTATTTGTATTGCTAAATGTGGCAACCCGAGTCACAGCTAAGTATGCATGCAGAGGTCTGGACACGAAACTCTCCCAAACAAGCTGCGTTAGAACTAATGTTCTTCAATGGAGGGAGGAGAGCGACACTAGTTGGGACCCAGGAAACAAACCCTACTCCACATCCTCAAAAAAAAAAAAACAATCGAAGGCCTTAAACGCATCACTTTGGGCCCTCAGCCTCAATCTCCCCCTTTGTAAAGGGAAGGGATAGAACACAAGCTCTCTTATCTACGTTCTTTCCAGCTTTGTGATTCTTTATTGTCTACAATATTTTTCTTTTGGTTTCCTTTCATTTGTCTAAAATATTCCTCCTTAGAAACATATACTTTGCCTTCAGAAGAATTCCTTAGCCTCTTGCTTTAGGGGAAGTAACAATTTGCTAAACGAAGTAACAATTTGCATGAATGAAATGACCCTTCATTTTCCCTAAATGAAACTAAACACCACCAAATCGCAAACTCAAACACAAACTCACAGCGGTAATAACTATTATTAAGGCGGGTATCAGTAATGACACAGGGGTAATAAGTGTTTTTCACAATTATAATAAGGCACTATTAGTTTGAGGACCATTTGTTTTGCTTCATACACCTGATGAGGCTTCACCTCTTCACCCCGGTTTTTCCAGCCAAAAGTTCCTTCTCAAAGTGAAGGCTCTGAGGTCTACAGAGAATTTTCTGTGGATAAGGAGTTGGGGAAAAGGAAAAGTGAATCACGAGAAGCCGCTGGCAGAGAAGGAAACATGTGCAGAATTCCTACCGTGTCTGGCATCTTACCAGGCACACTTAATTCCACTCATTGTATTTTATTCTTTTGGATCTTGGGTACAGAAAGGTTAATCGTGTTCATTGGGCACCAATTTTTATTTAATCTTTCCTCAAAAAATAAGAAAATTCCTAAGACTGCCATTACCAAAAAACAAACCAAATTCACTGCTATTGAGTCGGATCCAACTCATAGTGCCCCCTTCTTGGATTTCCGAGCCGGTATCACTACGGAAGTAGATTGCCCAATCTTCCTTCCTAGAGACTGCCATTACTAACCCATTTTACAGATGAGAAAATGGACTTGCCCAGTGCCCAGCCCTTGCTCCATGGTGGAGCTGGCATTTAAGCCCAAACCTGACTCAATCTGCTCGACACTCCAATTAGAGAGAGAAATCAAGAGCCCCACTCCTCTCCTTACACTCCTTCATCCCCACTGGCTCCAGCACATTCCATACACAGGAAGTGCTCCCTAAACATCTGTAGACAAAGACTACAGTGATAGGAATAATGGAATAAAGTTGAGTACATCCATTGACAGAAGTGTGAAGAAGCAAGGGGATGACCAGGGGACCAAAGGAGTGATCCGAGGGAGGCCCCAAACAAGATCCCAAGAAGGGAGCTGCTTGCCTTCAGAAGGAACCACTTTATCCACCAGTTCTCAGGCCTTAGAGGGACTGGAAGCCACACCCAAGTGAGGGACATCTTTCTTAGGACAAGAGGCATGATACAGAAAGGGCTGGTACTCTGTGAAGAGAGAGGACTGAGGCTGGTGCTCCCAGTGGACAGAGAAGACAGAGGCCCAAGGGCCAGACAGGGAGCTGGCAATGCAGTCAAACCAGAAGACAGGTCTCCTAACCCCCAGCCTCATGGCCATTCTACTACCCCACTTGTCAAAAGGCTGGCAATTCCTGGATTAGGGGTATTGTTGGGTGGCACTGAGTCCATTATTGACTCATAGCAACCCTATGTGACAAAGTAGAACTGCCCCTTAGGTTTTCTTGGCTACAATCTTTATAGGAGCAGATCTCCACATTTTTCTTCCACAAAGCAGCTGGGTGAGTTCAAACCACCAACCTTTTTGGTTAGCACTTAACCATCTGCGCCAGCTTACTTTTGCAAAACTCTGATTGGCAGAGGTCCAGGCCATACATGGCAGGGAGCTCTGGACATCTGCCCCTAGATCTGTCCCCAAACATGAAACCTGGCAGCAATGGGCAGTGATGGCTAGAAGTCAAGCCACTATAATCAATCCCAGCATCTCTTCCTGGGGTTGCTTACCTGGGACCCAAAAAGGTAGAGGGCAGGAAGGGCTCACTGGAGCCTCCAGTGGCTATAGCCACCTGGGCTTTGAGCTGTGACACCCACCACTCATGGCCACACCTGAAATGGGGGTTTCTAATGTGAGTGAAGAAGCTCTGGTAGCATAGTGCCTAAGGCACTTGACTGCTAACCAGAAGGCTGGCGGTTCAAACCCACCAGCCACTCCTCAGAAGGAAGGTTGGGCAATCCTACTTCCATAGTGATACTGCCTCGGAAACCCAAGGAGGGGTCGCTATGAGTCGGGGCCGACTCGACGGCAAATAACAACACAACAACGTGAGTGAGACACAAAGAAAATCTAAGGAACCTGAGATGTCAAATACACTGGCTAGTGAGGAACTGCAAAGCTTTCAGAAGACCAGATCCCATTTGCTCCCACAAAACGCTGTATACAGCACTGTTTACTAACTGTAGAGTCTGAGTGCTAATCACTGAATTCACTCTCGGCAAGTAAAAGGGAAGGTTTATAGTCCCAACTCTACCGACATGGGGATTAAGAATGTCAGAGGAAGAGGCCTAAAGTATCACCTAACTCAACTACTTTAAACTCAACTACTTTAAATGGATGGGGCAACCAGGGCCCAGAGAGAGAAAGGACCTGCCCGAGGCCACACATCCAGGTAGCTGCAGAGGTTACTCTACCTTGCCTAAGAACCAATACTGAATGATTTTTAAAATTGAGATGTAATTTACATACCCTAAGTTTCACCCCCTTTAAAGTACACAATTCAGTAGGATTTAGTATATTCAGAATTGTGAAATCAAAACCAACTAATTCTAGAACATTTTCATCAGCCCAGAAAAAAACCCCATCCCTGTAAGCAATCATTCCCTATTCCTCCCCCATAAGACCCCCTAAAACCCCTGACAACCATTAATTTGCTTTCTATTTCTATGGATTTGCCTATTCAGGGTATTTCATACAAATGGAATCATACAGTATGTGGCTTTTGTGTCTGACATGTGGCTTTCACATCTGGAATCTTTCACTCATCATAATGTTTTCAAGGTTCCACCCATATTGTAGTATGAATCAATACATCATTCCTTTTTATGGCTAAATAATATTCCACTGTATGGAAATATCACGTTTTTATCCAATCATCAGCTAATGGACATTTATGTTGTTTCCACTTTTTGGCTATTATGAATAATGCTGTATGAACAACACCCAGTGACCCTTAACTGCCACCCCGACTTCTCTCCCATATGGCCACGCCCCTTGGAGAATGGTGCCGCAGGACATTAACTCAGGCAAGCACAGTGTAGCACTTGGTGAGAGAGACAAAAAGTCAGATAAAAAAGTTGCCTCAGTACTTGTGAAAGTTGCACTGAGTTTTAAATAACAATGTACATGCAATAAACTGTGACGGGAGAACTCCTAGAGCCCAGCAGGCCCTTCATAAATGGTCATAGTAGAAAGGAGAGACACAGGAACTCCGACCCTCTCAGACATCCAACCTCAGAATCACCTCCAACTTCCCTCAGAAGCAAGAACAGTCAGCCAGGGGCCAAGTGTACCAGAAGGCTAGTAGCGTTCAGCTCAGCTTAGCCCAGACGTGCCTCTGGTTATAGCCCCCAGGGAGCACCTCAGCCTTTTGGGATCTAGATCTTAATTCTAAAGCCAGAAAGAGTTCACAGCCTCTCCCACTGCCTGGAAGTTTCCATTTGGGATGTTTCCCTCCACCCCCATCTCTGTACCCAGCATCTTGCTTAGTTAAGGATCCACACGCCTCCCTGGGCTTCCAAGTTTCACTTCTCCCAATGAGTAGCCATGGGTGGTGGGAGAGGACCTCTCTGGCACCCATCCCCTCCACCCTCAGACCTGAAGGCTCAACCCCAAGCCCCAGGGTGGGAGACACAGAAAAAGGAGCCCCTGGCACTTTAAGGCCGCTGAGCCTAATTGCCCAGATTCCCCTGGCAGCCAGATAAACAACGCAGCCGGCTGGCGCCAGCAAGAGGCAAACTGCACATTATCACCCCTTCCTCACCTCTGAGGAGGAGCACAGAGGAGCAGGCGAGGCGGGGCTGAGGGGCCGCCCCAGAGCCCGGCTGGGCGGGGCGGGGGCTTAGAAGCCCAACTTGAAATTGATCTCATTTCAAAGGGATAATGCTAGGCCAAATAAAAGGAAAACTTTCTAGCCCATTTTAATTCCTATAGTCCTGGCCTGGGAACCCTGTGTTTTCCTAGGCGGCCTCCTCCAGTCATTTAGAAGTTCTCTCTCTAGCTCTGTCTCTCTTTCCCTGGTGCAATTTGGATAATAGTAATTTACTGAATATAATTACAGAAAAAAAAAGTGGTAAAGCAAAGAGCAGGAGATTTATTCCAAAGTTAATGGATACTTTCAAGAGAAAGGAGCTCTATAAACACAGGTTAGAGCTGTGATTAAAGTATTTCTCCACATTTCCGTCCACATAGGCACCCACAGAGCTCAGGGAACTGGCTTTTCCAGGGACAAAAAGACACACAGGAGGGAGGCATAGCTAAGGCCAGACTTCCACAGGGGTGGGGAGGTCAGGAAGCTGTGGAGCAGCGCCCAAGACAGAGCCTGACACAAGAGGGGGTCCTGTGCACAGGATCCGAGTTTCTGAGGCAAGGCTGGGGGAGAGGACAGGGTAAGGGACGAAGGCCTCTGTTGTGTGGAACCCTGCCTGTCAGACCTGTCACCTGTCCAACCCCTCACATAACAGATGGGAAAAGAGGCCCAGGGAGGGAAAATTTGTCCCAAAGTGAGTTGATGGATGGAGCAGGACTGGCTCTCTGGGCAGCAGAAGTCACACTGGCCAGGAAGGAGATTCCTATCACTGGGGTTCCCTGGAAAGATGGACTGGGATGACTAGTGCCTGGTGAGTGTCTCTCAGTCAGTCTGCTGGACACTCTACGGCTGTGTGCTTGCTCTGCATGTGTGTGTGTATCTGTCTGTCTATCTGCCCCAATGCCCCAGCCCTCTCCTCCCAGAGCCCTGGAAGGAGTAGTCTCCTTATCAGGACGCGCACGGCTGAACTCCAGCTATGCACCCGCCCAGCAATGGGAGCCAGGCTGGCGGCCAGGCAGCGGAGGCGGGGTGGGCAGTGATGGGCTCCCCCAGTTCTCAGTCCCCGAGGCCCAAGCCATCAAGCAGGGGATGAAGCAAGAGGATCAAGCTGGCGCCTACTGGAAACTCCTCCCAGACCATTAATGCTCTCAGATGCCCCAGGGTGGCCTGAATGGCGGCCCATGGGCTAGTGAAGAAGCAGGAGAATATACTGTGGGTGTCCTATAGCACCTGCAATAGCACCTCCTTCTGGGGGAAGCAGCCAGTCAAGTCCCAATGCTTGGTGTAGAATTAGATGTGGAGATAGTTCTTAGAGCCACCTCCACTTAGTAAGAAAACTAAAGTCAAGCTGTCACTTACTAACCAGGCAGAGCCTAGGACCACATCTGTAGTTAAGAACTGTTCCAATGCTGGATGCCGTATCTCCCTCTACTTCTACTTCTCCAAGTCCACCAAACTCAAACCAACACCCAAACAGACTTCTAGAATTGGCATGGTGGTGGTGAGGGAGGATTCTGTCTGCCACCTCCAACTTTTTCACTCCTCCCCTTCAAATCCACCCACCTGAACTTACCTGACACCTTGACTCAGCTGGCCCTCTCTTCCTCCTTCCCCTTGGTCCCGTGCTCCCATGACCCATCCTCCAAGGCCCGGCTCCAGGGCTCACTTCCCCTGGAGCTGATCCAATTCTACACCCTATAATGTTCCTGGTAGTTCAAGTCCACTGACCTGGCCTTAACCACTTCTCTTCTCCCCCCATCTCTTTCTCATGTCCCTCCATAAGATTATGTTTCCTGAGGGCACAGATCCTACTCATATTTCCACTCTGACCCACACAGCACAGTGCCTGGCACTGAGTTGAGTGTTCAACAAATATTTGCTGGCAGACTTAAGTGGCCAGAGGGAAAATACCTGCCAGCGCCTTCTAGTGGACCTTACTACCCATCTCCCACTGGGGAAAAAAAAAAAAAATTACTTGGGACAGAGCAATGACAAATAAGGATCCTTCCCCAAAGTCAGAGAAAAGAGAGCAACAAAAGATGGGAGGAAGCCACTTTCTGAGCAAAGCAGTAAGAGAAACAAGGTGCTAAGGCAGTCTGCATGAGCCCCAGGTCAGGGACTGCCAAAGCCCCTGAGCCAGGCCTGGAGTGACCATGCAGGGGAAAAAGGGCACAGGGCAGCCCCCATCAGCACTGCATCTCCCCACCCATCTCCATCAGTGCCCTCTCTTCAGGTACCACCACTAAGGCACCCTTCCTTTCCCCTCCAACCACTACCCCCACACAAACAAAAGACACCTGGGATAAATCCATGATCCCAAGAATCCATGATCCCAGGCCCTAGCCCTTCTTCCCCACTGAGTCAGACCTGTGATAGGACCCTCTATGTGCCCCCAGGCTGGGTGCTGCCTTTCTTCAGAGAGACCACACCTGAGGAATACAGAGCTCTCCCAAGCCCAAAAGGCTGTAACTCTGTGACAGTCCCCTCCACCACCCTGCCTGCAGAACACCCCAATGCTGTCCAAAGGATTCATGCATACCTCTTAAGATGCCATAGGCTACAATGTGTGTTCCTTGCAGTGCTGAGTTTAAAGCAGGAGGTACGTATCACAAGTATCTGGCCTGCCAGGGGCCTGAACCAGTCCCTCGACTCTCTGCTCCAGCACCCAGGGGCTGTCCAGGTAAGGAAGGCTGGGGGTGTGGGGTGTGCAGGAAATCCCAAGAGGAGAACAAAGAAAGCAAGAAGTAATAAAATATCTGGCCTCCTCCCATTCACCGGTGTCACCAGGACCCTGGGGTGGAGTGGGGGGAATTTATCCTCAACGCTATAAAAAAAGCTGGAATCATGAATAGAGAATGATGATGATGATGGAGGACCCTGGCATTTGACTCCAAAGGGATGCTGGGTGCAAACAGGGCAAATGAGTAAAATCCACTTTGAGAAAGAGGTTGCCCTTTTGCAAAAGCTTTGTTCTTAGGTTTGCAAAGGAACAAGGGGGCAATATACAAGCACTTTTGACTCTGGCCATGATTTGTCTCCACCTAGTCTCACTACTGGGAGCTCTGGTAGCATAGTGGCTAAGGCACTTGACTGCTAACCAGAAGGCTGGCGGTTCAAACTCACTAGCCACTTCTCGGAAGGAAGATAGGGCAATCTACTTCCGTAGTGATACTGCCTCAGAAACCCAATGAGGGCTCACTATGAGTTGGGTCCAACTCGATGGCACATAACAACAACAGTCTCACTACTAATATCTACTTGGATACAGCACAGGTGTAGGCACATGCACACAAATGATAGAGATCTTGGCACACAGACTAGGCCAAAGGAATGGGCGGTAGGGGTACCTATGTCTTTTGTCTCTCCTATGAGGAACTCAGAGCCCTCCCCGACCCAACAGCGCAAAACTCATGCCTGCCTATTCCACTCTACTATCTAGAAGGTGGATCCTGCGTTAGGTCCCTAAAGCTCCACAGAGAAAACGCCAATACCCTTTCAAGTTTGCTGGAGCTTTAGGATAAAGTTGCCACTTCATGTGTGGAGCAGACACCCACTTCCCGGCTCCTCTAATCCTCTTGGCAGGGGTGAGGGGACAAGAGCGTGGACACACCTCCACTGGAACATCCTACGTCCCATGGGTACCAGGGGGCGCATCTGCAGCTAGGCCCACCCGAAGTGTCACAGACAGAGTGAAGGCTACGGAAGGGGGAGGCGGGGAGGAATCTCGGGAGCCCCCAGTTGGTCATGGCACGCTCACCTGGCCCGCAGAGCCGACTGAAGTGGTAAGGGTTGCAGCACACAGTGGGGCCGTCGGCGGCGGCGGCGAAGCTGTGGCAGCCGCACAGAGGCTTCAGCTCCACGGCGTGCTGCAGGTCGGGCCAGCGGAAGAGGCGGCCGAGCAGCAGCTGCGGCGGCGCAGGCTGACCGCCCAGGCGGAGGTCGGCGCGCGGCACCAGTACGCAGCCACCCGGCACGCCGCCGCGGGACTCCACCGCCTCCAGCAGCGTATCCAGCGAGCGCTCCTTAAGCCGCTTCAGCAGCGAGTACGTGACCGTCTTGAGCTCCTGCTCCAGCAGCAGCAACCGCGAGCGGGCTTCGCGACTCCTCCCGCCGCCTACCGGATCCAGGGAAGTCCTGGCCAAAGGGTCGGCGGCCTCCCGGGGCGCGCCGGAGGCGTCCCGCTCGGAAAAAAGACAGCAGGTCACCGTCTCGCAGTCACTCTCCTGCAGCCAGCCTGGGCCTCCTGGCTCCGCCACTTCCAGAGGAGAGCCCCCACCGTTAGCCCCGGGATCCGACATGGGCCTCGAGGGGCCCCCTGCGCGCCGGCGCCTCCCCGCGCCCTGGGCGCCTCGCTGTCCCACTGCGTCCCGGGGCCGCCGTGGGGCTACCGGGCGGACTTCAGAGCGGCCACAGCCTCCGCCTTCTCGTGCCCGCGGGGCCGGCTCAGCTCGGCAGCCCAAGCTCCCATCCTCGTCGCCGCCGCCGCCGCCGCCGCCTTCCTCCTGATCGGGGACCACACGACTTCGCCAAAGTCGCCGCACCAGCCCCGAGCGTTTGGACCTGAACATACGATATCGTTTGGCGCCAGGGGAAGGAGGGAGGCGGTCTCCGGTTACCGGGGGTCCGTTCCCTCAGCAAGGCGCCGGCTGCGCGGGCCGCAGCCCCACATGAAGCTCCGCCGCGGGGCGCCGTGCAGACCGCGCACAGCTTGTCGTCGAAGGGGCGCCGCAGGGCTGCAACATGAGGGAGCTCGCCGAGGCAGGACAGCCTGGCAAGGGCGGCCAGGAACACGCGCTCGCCGAGCCGCAGTCCGCGCCGGGCCAGCGGCTACATGGACCCGGCGGCCGGACTGCTCAGCAACTCCAGCCCCCACGCTTTAGGGGGGCTGCAGGCACCGCTCCGCCAGAAAGATCCCGCATGGGCCAGCAAGCCTTCAAAAGTTGCGCGGCTGGTCCGTGAGCACAAAGCGCTCGCGCCGAACCCCCCAAATGTTCTTGGGAAGCCTGCCTCCAAAACCCAAGGGCTTAACTACATAGGCTTTTCCTCAAGAATCCGAAAGGCAGGTTTGTTGATACCCTCAGCTCCTTTCTTACCCCTTGCAAAAGGAAAAAAAGAAAAAGAAACCCCAAAAAGAACCAAAATCCCGGGATTTGCATGCACGAAAGACCAACTTCGTCTCAGGTCCCAGGCGCTAGATGCTCTTAGAGCGAGTTTCACCAGAACGTGGTGTCAACACATGAGTGGAACTGTAAAAATCCCGAAGAGCTGCTGGGAATCCTTAATTTAAAATACAATCCACTGAGGCAGAGGTCGCAGCCCGCCCCACGCTGCGCTCGGCTGTTCCGGGCGCCGCGGCTGCCCCCACTCCCCTCCACGGAAAGTGCCTCCCGGTGGCCCCGCGGTCCCTGCGAGGTCTGGCGAGGCAGCGCCCGGCGGCTCTTTCTCTCGGCTCGGCTCGGCTCCCTCGCTTGCTCCCCTGCTCGGCTCTCTCTCTCTCTCTTTTTTGTTCTCCTCAAACGCACACTGAGGGCCCCCGGAGGAGCGCCGCGGAGTCATTGGCTGCCTCCCATCATATGCCAGTCTAGACACTTTGGCGGCTCCGCGGCGCTGATTGTTGCGCAAACAAGGTTTCAAGTTTCTTAACTCTTAAAGGAGAACACATCCCATTGCAGGGCCCGCGGCTCCGAAGGGCCGGCTCCTGGGGCGGGCCGAGTCCCGGCCCCCGCCCCCCGCCCGCCCCGGCTCCGCCGCCCCGGGCCTGACAGCGCCCGCCGCCTGCTCTGTGGCTCGTGTTGCGCCCCGGGCACGGATGCGAGCTCACACACGCGCGCGCACACGCACACACACTCACACACAGAGTTACACAAACCACGGACAGGCACCCAAGGACCTGGCGGAACCACTGATACTCGGACACAAAAAGGCCGCTTTGCCTTCTTTTGGCTTGTGCACAAATTTATAAGCACACGCTGAACTTTATTAGAGTTAATCCAAACTCCATCCCAGGGAAGGCTAATAAAAATGGGTGTGCGTGTGTGCCTTTCTGGCTTGGGTCGCCTGGGAGCAAGGGGAGGCTGATAATGTTAGGGCAGCAGGATCTTCCCTGACGGCACAAGGACTCCACACCCCCCGCACAAAGTCGGGGGCCAATCTGCTGGGCAGAACTAGGGCCGCAGGACGCTTCGCGCTAGGGGGTTCCAGGCTCGCCAGAGGTGAGGAGTTGGAGAGGACGGGGTAAAAGCCGGGATTCTTTCCTCCCAGGCTCCGCTTGGTCGCCCCAGCCCTCCCTAGGGCTGCCTGCAGTCTCAGAACCCCTTGCGGCCAGGTGCTTCCTCCTCCCCTTTCCCTGATTGTCTTTTTGCAACTCAGAGATGGATGTGAGTAAAGGTCGTGCTTTCCCCGGCGACGTTTTACCACAAAAATGGGGGATGGGTTAGGCGAGCGGGATCACCAACTCCAGGTCTAGGGTAGGATGGGGGCGCGGCAGCCGCAGCGGGCTTCCCGGCGCGGGAAGGGTTAAGGCCGCTCCTGCCCCTGGAGCCGGCGCGGCGGGGTACCTCCTAGGGCGCGCTCGCTCGTCCGAGGGTGGCAAAAGTTCAAGCTTGTAAAGTCGGGATTGGTCCCGCGCGGAGGGAAAAAAGGCCTGGTTCCCCCTCCCCCACCGGGCGCGGCGCCGATTGGCCGGGCTGCAGGGCGGGCACCGCCCTCTCCTCGGCGTGCAGCTACCCCGCCCCCCGCCCCGGCGCCCCGCCCCTTTCCGGGCAAGAGCCCGACCCCGCGCGAAATGAAAGAAATTCCGCTACTCTCATTGGCCGGAGGCTGGGCGCCATTCCCTGGCCGGGGCCCGGGGGCGGTGGCTCGCGGGTCTCCCTCGGGGGTGCCCATGTGTGGCGTTGGCCTTGTGAGTCCGGTAGTGCGAGTACCCGCCCGGCATCTCTGTGTGCGCTGGGGGAGGGGCAGTATTTGCCGGAAGAACTCAGAATCTTTTACCGAGCTTTACCTAGAGCCAGGTACGGTTCGCTCCGCGCTCTCTGGAAGAGGAGGTTACTCTCCCGGATGGAGGACCGTATTGAGAAGCTTCCCCACCCCCATCCCCTACTACTTTGGCTAAATCAAAATGGCTTATTTGGCCTTAGTTTCTTGTCTAAAAACGGGGATCATGATGCCTACCTTTCGCGCTTCACAGAACCATGAAGGGCCTAGAAGATACTGCATGTTAAATGCACAAATCTCAATTGAATCGCGAGATGAATGTTTACGAAGTCTACACACCCCATAACCATGCAGAACCGAAAACATGATTCGCAGTCCAGAAGCGTCTTTTGGTGACCCCTTTCAGTCACTTCTCTCCCCAGAAAAATTAATGCATCTTAAAATACAAAGAAACTCAGTGTAAAGAATTCATCAACGTGTTTCTGGGTTGGCTGTAGATTATAGTAATAAAGTTCAACCCTGAAGTCTGCTCACCTCATGGGACCTCAAGAAAATTATCTGGTCTTTCTACCTAGTCTGTTTTAGTCTGGAAGCCGCAAACCTGTTAAGCACCACAACATACAGTAATAATAGCTTGGTGCTTATTAAATTATAACTATGTGCAAAGCATCGAAAGGAAGGTTGGGCAATCTACTTCAGTAGTGATACTGCCTCAGAAACCCAAGGAGGGGATCCCTATGAGTGGGATCCGACTCGAGGGCACATAACAACAACATGTGCAAATCAGTGTTTCAAGCATTACATGGATTTAGTCATTTAATCCTCACAACAACTCGACGGCAATGAGTTATGAGTATATCTTTACAGAAGTAGACTGCCTCATCTTTCTTCAGCAGAGCAGCTGGTGATTTCACACCACTGGCCTTCTGGTTAGCAACTGAATGCCTTAAGCACTGTACCACCAGAACTTCTTCCCATACAGATTGTTGTTGTTGTTATGTGCCGTCAGAGTCGGCCCCGACTCATAGCGACCCCTCCTTGGGTTTCTGAGACAGTATCAGTACAGAAGTAGATTGCCCCATCTTCCTTCCGAGGAGTGGCTGGTGGGTTTGAACCACCAGCCTTCTGGTTAACAGTCAAGTGCCTTAGGCACTATGCTACCAGTGCTCCTCCCATACAGATTACAGCCTGTAAAACCCTAGGGGCAGTTCTCTTGTCACATAGGGTAGCTATGAGTCAAAATCTTGATGGCACCTGACAACAACATGCCACCCAAACAGGTACGAAGTAGTGGGTAGGTCTGTGTTCCCCTGTACACCCTTCAAGGTGGTGATTTTCAAAATGTGGTCTTAAGAGCCACTTGCATTGGACCTGCTGAATCAGAGTGTTAGGAGTGAAGCATGACACTTCACATAACAGCATTCTGGGCGTAGATATGGTTGTTACCACCATTTTACAGATAATGATACTGAGGCACAAAGACATCAAGTAATTTGCTTAAGTTTGTAGTTAGTAGCAGAAGTGGGATTTGAACCTAGCCAACTGCCTGGGAGAAGGGGTCTGTGTGTTTAATGGAAAGCAGAGGAAGTGGGACAGCAGACAGGAGAGGAGTTATATGTAGGCTCTCCCTCAGGGCAAGGATGTAGGTGCTTCCAGGATTGCTCATCACATACCCCTGGGAGCGATAGTGTGCACTGTGGCTCCTGTGCCTTCCCATCATACCTCCCTGGGCTCTGCAGAGTTCTTAGGGAAATGCCCTGAGGGATGTTGGGCCTATGAGATTTATGGTCCTGGGGCCTTGGGGTTAGGAAAGACTTAAGCAGTGACCTTCCTGGGGAGGGCTCCCTTCTTCCAGCAGTAACTTGGGCTCCTGTAAGTACTTCTTACAGCAGTAACTTGGGCTCCTGCTCACCTGGAGAGGTGACACTGGGGGGTGGGCAAAGAGGGTCGGGGTTGGGGATGATGTTATTAAGCCCTGGTTGGATGTACTCCTGAAAAGCACTGAAATGAGTCTGGTTCACCAAGTTTATTATTGACCTTTCTTTCTCCCTCAGCTCTGTAAAACTCGGAGTTCTTATCTATGAAATGGGATTTGGAGTCATGCTAAGTGGTTGCCAAGATTAAATGACCTGAGGACCCCGGAGTTAGCCCTCATTATGGAGAGAATGTCTGAGTGGAGATAGGGTCAGGAAGAGAGGGTCACTGACAGTCCCACTGTCATTGGGTTGGTTCACCAGAACCTGTCCAACTCTGCGCAGGTGTAAGTTGAAGCCACTAGAGGGTGTGATGAGCGGTGGGGCCTAGCAGGGCAGAGCTGAGGAGCTGCAGCCTAAGGACAACTTCCAATGCAGTCAAGCTCCAGGTCTCTGGAGTGTGGTAAGGGAGGCAGACAGGGTTCCACCACCACCACCATCACGCCCTCATGACAGGCTGTCAGTCCTTTCTGTTCACACTCAGGTCTCAGCAGCCACGTTACTCCTCACACAAACCTGCTCTGATACCTCAGATTCAAACCTGCCCCATGCCCATCATTCCAGTGTTCCCCAAAGCACCCTGGGCTTCCCCCTTACAGCACGTATCACAATTCAAAACTATGGGATTCCTTGGATCTGCCTCTGCCTCTGGAATGTCAGATCCTCAAGGGCAAAGATGGTGAGATTACCAGCACAGGCCACATACAGCAGCACTGAGGGAGTACAGTCAGAAAGCAGGGTCATTTGATGTCATTCTGTCTATGCCATCGAAGAAGCCAAGTCACACAAGACAGCACTTGCTTCATCTCTTCTTCCTAACACAGCATGACGGGTACTCAATAAATACTTGTGGGTTGTTGAATTACAATCAACTCAATTCACAGAGCTCTATATTCATCCCTATGCCAAGGGATGAGACAAAACTCACTGCCATCAAGTCCAATCTGACTCATAGCGACCCTTTCTTGGGTTTCCGAGGCACTATCACTATGGAAGTAGATTGCCCAATCGTCCTTCTGAGGAGTGGCTGGTGGGTTTGAACCTCCAGCCTTCTGGTTAGCAGTCAAATGCCTTAGGCACTATGCCACCAGAGCTCCTGTCCTAAGGGATGAGGGATGTCTAAATAATACAGAGCTCATACCAAGCACTATCTCATAGAAGCCCCCCAACAACACAGTGAAAAAAGGTATTATTCTTACCCATTGCTGTTTAGTCAGTTCCAACTCATGTCAACCCCATGTGTTTCAGAGCTAAACTCCACCCCATAGGGTTTTCAGTGACAATGGTCTTTTAGAAGTAGATTCTGGCAATCTCACACAAACCTGCTCTGATACCTCAGAGCTTTCCCTCCAAGGTGCCTCTGGGTAGATCTGAATCTCCAACTTTTTAGTTAGTAGCTGAGTCTTTAACCATTTGCACCACCCAGGGACTTCCTGTGTTATTCTTACTGTTGCATCAAGCGCATTCTGACTCAGGGCGATCCCATGTGTGCAGAGTAAAACTGCTGCATAGGGCTCTCAAGACTGTGAACTTTTAGAAGCAGATTGCCAGGACTGCCTTCCAAGGTAT